AACCACACAGAACTGGGGTCCAGCCAAGTTGACACACAGCTCCAACTATCACAATTCCTTTGTTTGGGGAGAGACTGGAGGCTAGCAAGGCAGAAGTCCTTCTCTATTCCTCTCTTGGGAGCGCCTCCCCTCTCCTTTCTCTTTAATAAACTTCAGTTCATGTGGACATTTCGCCTCTCCTATTCAATTCTTTGTCAGTAGAAGGCAAGGACCCCTGCTCAGTATTCCAGGGACCCCTGCAACAATAGCAACCCTACTGGTCAGAGGACTCCCCCAAAGGATTTCCAATGTTGTAATCTTTACAGAAGCAGACTGCCCCTCTTTCTCCTGCGGAGCCACTGGTAGGTTTGAACTGCCAACCTTTCAGTTAGCAGTGGGGCTCTTAACCATTGTACAATGAGGGCTCCTTACAGAGAATAACCAAACCAAACCCACTGCCATCAAGTTGAGTCCAGCTCATAGTGACGACCCTCTGAGTTTCCAAGGCTATAAATCTTTATGGAAATAGATTCTCTCATCTTCCTCCCATGGAGCAGCTGGTGGGTTTGAACCACCAACCTTCTGGTTAGCAGCCAAAATGTGTTACCCACTGTGCCACCAGAGCTGTAGGATTAAACATGGTCTTCCTATTTCCAGCTTGGGATCCTCCCTGTGGTGGGTACCGAGCATGGGAGCATGCATTTTTAATTGACTGTATGCAGACAAGCTGAAAGCCCTGCAAAATGCAGGACAATCTTGTCCAAGGAAGAACTGTCCCACCCAAATGCTGACAGAATCCCTTTGAGAAACACTGTACCTCCCAGTCCACCAGCACTGTGCCCCATGTGGCAAGACTTCATTCTAGCCTCCTTCCCTGGGAGGTGGTCTAGATAGCTATGTCCCCACTCTTGAGTAAGGCCTGCTTTATGAGTTCAGGTATTCTGACTGGGCACCTGTCTTTGCCAAAGGATCATCAAAAAGAATTTTCACCTCTTTCTGGAGACAGCCCACCCCACCTACCCTAGCCAAACTACATACAACCCAAGAGGACAATCATTCCCAAGATAACAAACATCTTTTAAAATATTATTAACACTGGCATAGGGCAGGCCAGCACGCATTGGGTAAGGGAAAGAATCAAGGTTGACCTAGGAAAGGGCAGTCTAGTACTACGGGGGAAAAATGAGGCAGTCTGCTTCCATAAAGATTTACAGCCTTGGAAACCCTATGGAGCAGTTCTAGTCTGTCCTAAGGGGTCATTATGAGTTGGAATCAACTTGATGGCAGTGAGTTTGGTTTTTTTGGTTAAAATATTTGCTATCCTGTAACTGAATGCTATGGTCTTTGTAAACACTTATTACACACACACACACACACACACACACATATAAAAGCAAAATCAAACCTGTTGCCCTCCAGTGGATTCTGACTCATAATCACCCCATAAGAACTGAGAACTGAGCTCCATAGAGTTTCCTTGGCTGTAATCTTTTCAAAACCAGATTGCCAGGAGTAGTGACTGGAATCTTAAAAGCTTGCAAGCAGCCATCTAGATGCAATGATGGGTCTCTCCTTGTCCAGAGCAAAGAATGAAGAAAACCAAAGATTCATGGAAACAATTAGTCCTAGCGACTGGTATGCCACACAATCCGCAGGCTATATGACTATGAGACCAGAACTAGATGGTGCCCAGCTACCACGGTCAACCACTAGGAGGGGGATCTATGTAGGAGATCCTGAATAGAATGGGAGAACAAAGTGGAACAAAATTCAAAATCATTTAAAAAAAAAAAAAGTACAGATTTGCTGGTCTGATAGAGCCTGATGGAACCACTGAGGCTATGACCCCTAGCTGCCCTTCAGGTCTGGAACTGAATGCACTCCTGTGGCTTCCAGCCAAACAAAAGACAGGCATATGAGCTGAACATTTACATTAGGTAGATATACTCCTTGGAGAGATCAATCATGGGAGA